ATTATTTTAAGCTGAGGGCCCCAAGTTTATCAGTAACTTAAGTTACTGTCACGGGTCACCCTCATTAAATAAAGTCTTTCACTTCACTTCACTTCATTTCACCAGTACATGTATTTTCAAGTGTTTCATATGAGTTTAAAAATTGTTTTCAACATTTGGTGTTGTTAGAAATGATTTCTTTTAAGACAATATTTAAAACAGTGGTACAGAAGTTTGCAGTATGATGTAAATAACCTTAGTACAAAGTTTTTTGTCCACTTGTTACTCAAACCTTTTTAAGCTAAATAACAATCAAAGAAGGAAAAGGCTAAAGGTAGGTACTTATATTAACATGTGTTCAGAGATTATGGATGAAAGTAACAGAAGACGTCTTCAGATTCTTTGTCAGTTTGGTTAAATGTTGACAAAGTATCAGTCAACTAATCCTTCCAGCATGAACTGGTCATTCAGTGGTAGTAAATTTTTAAACATGTACTCAACAGCACAGTTTTGCTAAGTATAGTTTGACTCCAAGCCAATTTATCTGCTGACAGGAATGAGGGTTACTAATGACACTTATCAACTCTTGGTTACAAATCAATGAGAGAAATCTCCATTGACTCAGTTTGAATGAATGTTAACCAACATATTTAACAAACAGATTATGATCTTGAGATTACTATCGCCTGATAGTTAACAATGGCACAACATACCCTAGTCAACCATCACACATAGAAAACGCGGGGAATAATCAAACTACTAGTCGTTCAAAGCTTTATCTCAATCCTTTGACAGACACTTCGGAAACACATAGACAGGGCCAATTCATTTCAGTTAACAACCTCACACGACTTGGCTACTCACTTTCTACAACAGAATAGTGACTAGCTTTGCCATTCAGGGAACAGCATTCTTGATAGAAGGCTTGCAGATTTTTTACTAATGGCCATTAGACAAGAGATAATGGCCTGGCAATTTATTACTGACATGTTGCAAAGTATCAGCTGACATATCAGCTTATTACTTGACTGACACTCGGCAGCACATATTCCACCTGCTCTGTTTAACTGGCATTTCTGAGACTCGGAATAGGCACAGATGTAACAAGCTTCATTTTCTGGGTAATAACTCACCCTCCACAGCATCCAATTGCTGTTTCATTTACACTAACTATCATGCTAGCTATGTCAACGTGGCCAGTAAAATCTTCAAGGGGATGTGGCTGAAGTAACAGTGCATCAATTGCTAGGGGAAAGACATCCTTTGATAAGACAAACTTCCGATCCTGAGGTGTCTCACCAAAGTTCCACAAAAAGCTGAGACAACACAACTGAAGAACAAGTTGTCCCTCGTTAAAGTGGTGTTTGAGTTGATTTTGAATCATGGTAGCTTCCACTGAATTTTCATTTCTGTTGGTCAAAATAACAGGCACATCAAGTTCATTGATATATTTCCACCAAATGAATGCAACTTTGGTAAATGCAGTTCTTTACCCTTGCTATTTCAAAAATAATTTTTCGGAAGTAAATTTTTGAGAAAATTATTTGCTTTTGGATAGTCTTTTGACAACTTCCTTTGAATGAAAACACGAGCTCCCCTTTCCATGAGTTCCAAAAACTGTAGGAAATATTAAGAAGGATGGGAAGCACTTAAAAAGCACATAGTAATTTATGAGCAAATAGCAAAGGAAGTTGTAATAAGATACCTGCAATTGGACACCTGCATGATCGCATGCCGATTAGTAATAGTAATTAGACCGAGTGGAGTACAATTCGGGGAACACTAGCAATCACGGGAAATTTCAAAATCAGATGAGTGCAAAGCATGAGGCCGATTTGAAATTTTGAGTACAATATTATAATTTTAAGGAAAACGACCAATTTTTTAAGTTTACAAGACATGTTTCGACAGAACTTCTGTCATCTTCAGTTGAATGATTACAAAGCAAGTTGAATAATAAGTAGACAAAAATGCTAATTAAGACAAATAGTAACAAAAGAACGTGAAAAGGTGAAAACCTTTTAATTTACACCTTTTCACGTTCTTTTGTTTTAATTAGCATTTTTGTCTACTTATTATTCAACTTGCTTTGTAATCATTCGACTGAAGATGATGGAAGTTCTGTCGAAACATGTCTTGTAAACTTAAAAAATTGGTCGTTTTCCTTAAAATCTTTACGTGTCTGCTGTTATCTAGACCTTTTGGAAATGTTATCATTATAATTTATTGAAAAGCCACGGGCAAGAACATCCCCTGGATTTTTCGGCCATTTTTGAAAGTGCTCAAAAATGGCAGAATTTTGGCATGTGGGCTTCGTTTTACCTGAGAAACATTGCTCTGAAGTTTTTTTTTCGCTGGGGTGCTCTTTGTTTTTGAGAAATAACCTATGCAAAAAAGGCACACAGGTTGGAAAAACCGAGTGGTTTATTGCATATGCAATATCTTGAAAATGAAGCGAACTTTAGCGTGAAAACTACGGGACATCGCTTAACATACCTGAACAAACTGCATGTGAAATGTGGAGCGTTTTCGACAAAGTTCACTTTTGATTAAAAATACTTAATGCCCTTTTTCTAAACGAACGCGGGCCTCTGTTATGATAAACCAAGCCGATCCTTTGTTATAATAGCCAAGCCAAGCCTTTGTTGTAAGTTGAAGTCTCGCCTCGGTTTATTATAACAAAGAATTGGCCCGCCGCGACTGCAAGGACTTTGATTTCACTTAGAAAACAGCAAAAAGTTAATTTCACGAAAAGTATATAAGCTCAATTTTGTTGATTTCAGGTCAAAAGTGGTTAAAATGTTGATTCTTGTTAATGCATGATGGCAAGGATGTTCATTTCTCTTAGAAACCAGCAAAATGTCAATTTCACGCAACGTTTAAGCTTAAAAATGTTGATATTAGGTCAGAAAAGGTTAAATGTTGATTTCACGTTAACGTGTGACGGCAAGGAAGTTCATTTCTCTTAGAAACCACCAAAAGGTCAATTTCATGCAACATATATGCTCAAAAATGTTGATTTTAGGTCAAAAAAGGTTTAAATGTTGATTTCATGTTAATGCATGACAGCAAGGATGTTGATTTCACTTAGAAAACAGTAAAATATCAATTTCACGCAACGTATAAGCTCAAAAATATTGATTTCAGGTCTAAATAGGTAAAAATGTTGATTTCAAGTTAATAAGTGATGGCAAGGATATTCATTTCACTTAGAAAACAGTGAAATGTTGATTTCATCAGAACGCGTGACCACAAAGATGCTCATTTCACATCAGGTCAGTAAAATGCTCAAGGCTCTTGTGGTTAGGGTTTAAGTTAATTAGGATTAGAGATTAGTCCAACGTTATTCAGCAGGGTTAGGGCTTCGGTTGTGGTTTGTTCAGGCAACTAGCAACAGTCACCATGGGTTGAGTACCCTACTAGATAGTCAAGTTTGTTAGTTGCACTATAAAAAAATAAAAATAATAAAAAAATAATTAAATAATAATAATAATAAAAACAAGGACTCTTACGCCACGTTCAGTCAGCTGATAAACATTGAAACTACCTTGCCTAGCTAGGATAGTCAAATCAAATACAGCAATCAACGTAGATGTCACTACTAAACAATCAAAGAAGAGGGCCTATAGAGCGTTTTTATTGTCACGCAATGAAAAATAATATCAAAAACCACTCAGTAGATAAGGTCAAGAAATTGTGATATTACAGAAGATAAATAAAGAAGACAGTTCTCCAAGTTTAAGGTGTGTGC